ATATATATACATACACACACATACATATGCATATATATAAATGTATCTAGTTGTTTCTTGGTAATTAAGTACGTTCCTGTATCTGATCATACTGAGCTAGTGCAGGAGATGCTTGTGCCCCGCCCTGTGTCTCCAGCCTTGAGAGGGTGTACCAGGGATGCAGGAGAAGGAGGGAAGATCCCTGCCTCTGGGGTAGCCTGTACTTACTGAGTGTCTCTGAGTCCAGCATTGGGAAGGCCTAATAGGATCTCACTGACTTCAAGCATTTTAGTTTTGATTAGAAATATTTTCCATTCCAGTCAGTTTTTTTCTTCTAACAAGTTTTTTTCTGTGGGATGTGTAATGATACCCCTGGTAGAATGCATTCTTACGTACTGATTTGTGTTGTATCAGGATTTGTGTTATTTTCACTGTATGCTTTAGCAAAGCAAAAATATACATATTTAGATGTAGATCTATCTCATTGCTCCTCTAATTTTAAAGTCAGCTTTCATTTACCAGTGACTGAATGAAGCACTTTTCAAAGTGTCTCATTCTTCACAACAACTAATGTTAGTTGTGTCCTTCTCTGAGCCAGGTACTAAAGCTAAGTCTTATACATGGATTATCTCATTTAATTATCACAATAATCCTGGAAGCTAGGTACTGTTATTGTCCTGATTCTACAAGTGAGTATATTGCACGTTAGAGAGGCATCAGTCAGTTTTGGCTGTTCATTTGACATCCCACTTCAATACTAGTATTGAAACTGTTAACGAAAGATTCATACATTTTTCTTTCCTTTTTTTACCCACTCTGGGAAGAAATTGCACTGCCTCCCATAATCAATCTGGAAAACTGAACTAACTTGCTGCAGTATATTCGGGGATTAAGAGGCCTAACAGATTTATAGCTGCTAAAACCTGGAGAGCAGTCCTTACAGGACCCTAAATAGGTTTTTCATATAAAGGAGCTTACTTGTCAGACAATTCTCTGTCATTTCTCTTAGGTTATGGAGGGACTCTTCAAGACTGCAACAATGACGGTTCTCTCAAACTGTCCTGAAGATGTTGAACTCTGTCACAAGTTCATAGCTCCTGGCCAAAAGGTAATTAGTTTTGTGGATGAAGTACAATACATCTACTCTTTAAATATGTTAATTACGTATAATAAATATAATTACATTTAATAAATTTTTTTTCTCTTTTCTTACCAAGGACAGATTAGAACATATGCTAAAAAACAACTTTTTAATGTAAGTAGATACTATACTTTCTCTGAACTTTATTCATATTTTATCATAGTATTTATCACAGTCTTAAATTTTTTTGTTTATATATCTGTTTATCACAAGGAAGGCCCATGTTTTAAATATTTTTGTAGCTCTTATATCTGGTTCATAGTTGATAATCAGTGTTTCATGAATAAATACATGAATAAATCATAGCAAGATAAATGAACACAGTAATTATTAACTGAATTAATGCAATTCAGACTAATATTAACTTTAGTAATAAAAATTTGGCTCAATTAAAAAACTTTTATTTTGGAGCACCTGGGTGGTTCAGTCAGTTAAGCGTCTGACTCTTGGTTTTGGCTTAGGTCATGATCTCAGGGTTGTGAGATCAAGCCCTGCCTCGGGCTCTAAGCTCAGTGCAGAGTCTGCTTGTCCCTCTCCTTCCCTCTCTGCCCCTCCCCCACTCACACTGGCTTGCTCACTCGCTCTCTCTCTCAGATAAATAAATAAAATCTTTTTAAAAAACTTAAGTCCTGTATATTAACATATATTAGTTTCAGGTGTGCAGTGTAGTGATTCAACAATGCTATTATGTTATTCAGTGCTTATCAAGATAAGTGTACTCTTATCCCCTTCACCTATTTCACCCATTTCACCACCCACCTCCCCTCTGGTAACCATCTGTCTGTTCTATGTAGTTAAGAGTCTGGTTTGGTTTTGTTTGCTTGTCTATTTTTTTCTTTGTTTTATTTTTTAAATTCTACATATAAGTGAAATCGTGTGGTATTTGTCTTTCTCTGACTTATTTCACTAGATTCATCCATGTTGTTGCAAATGGCAAGATTTCATTCTTTTTTATGGCTGAGTAATATTCCATTGTGTGTCTGTACCACATCTTCACCTATTCATCTATCAGTGGACACTTGGACTGCTTCCATAGTTTGGCTATTGTAAATAATGCTACAATAAACATAGGGGTGCATGTATTTTTTCAAATGAGTGTTTTTGTGTTTTGGGGTAAATACCCAGTAGTGGAATTACTGGATCATATGGTAGTTCTATTTTTAATTGTTTGAGGAACCTCCATCCTGTTTTCCACAGTGGCTGCACCAGTTTGCATTCCCACCAACAGTGCACAAGTGTTCCTTTTTCTCCACATCCTTGCCAACACTTGTTGTTTCTTATGTACTTGATTTTAGCCATTCTAACAGGTGTGAGATGATATCTCATTGTGGTTTTGATTTGCATTTCCCTGATTAGTGATGTTGAGCATCTTTTCATGTGTCTGTTGGGCATCTGGATACCTTTGGAAAAATGTCTGTTCATGTCTTCTGCCTATTTTTAATTGGATTATTTGTTTTTTGGGTGTTGAGTTGTATCAGTTCTTATATATTATAGATACTAACCCTTCATCAGATATGTCATTTGCAAATATCTTCTCCCATTCAGTAGGTTATCTTTTAGTTTTGTTGATTGTTTCCTTGGCTTTCTGTGCAGAAGCTTTTTATTTTGGTGTTGTCCCAATAGTCTTATTTTTGTTTTTGTTTCCCTTGTCTCAGGAGACATACCTAAAAATGTGTTGCTGTGGCTGATGTGAAAGAAATTGCTGCCTGTGTTCTCTTCTAGGATTTTCATGGTTTTAGGTCTCACATTTCGGTTCTTAATCCATTCTGAATTTATTTTTATGTATGGTGTAACAATGTGATCCAGTTCCATTCTTCTGCATGTAGCTGTCTAGTGTTCCCAACACCATTTGTTGAAGATATTGTCTTTTTCCCAATGGATATTCTTTACTGCTTTGTCAAAGATTAACTGACCATACTATTGAGTGTTTATTTCTGGGCTCTCTGTTCTGTTCCATTGATCTATGTGTCTATTTTTGTGCCAGTAGTATACATTTTGATTACTACAGCTTTGTAGTATATCTTGAAATCTAGGATTATGATACCTCCAGTTTTGTTCCTCTTTTTCAATATTGCTTTGGCTCTTTGGGATCTATTGTGGGATTGTTTGTTCTAGTTCTGTGAAAAATGCTATTGGTACTTTAATAGGGATTACGTTAAATCTGTAGATTGCTTTGGGTAGTATGAACATTTTAAGAGTATTTGTTTTTCCAATCCATGAGCATGAAATATGTTTTCATTTGTTTGTGTTATCTAAAAAACTTCTAAAATACATGCATGTAATGTCTGCCTGTCAGTTTTTCTCTGTTTCAGTTTTCTTTTTATTTACTTTCAATTGCTCAAATCTGATAATATATTCTACACTGTTTTTTAGCCACTTTTTTAAACCTAAAGATCTGCGTTTTAAGTATAACACATATGTTGTTCCTTCATTTCCACTACAATCCTGTACAAATAGTACTAGATATTGGACTGGTTATTTATTCCACTAAGCATACTAATCAGATGTTCTGTTCCATTTTACAGTTTACTATAAAACAAATACATACTTAATATGGAAAAAGAACAATAAGCAATCTCTTCATAAATAGTGCAAACATTTTATATAAGACTTAGTATTCATTGTATTTACAGTGTGTATAGGAGGTAAGTTTGATACTCGGAAGAAGAGTAAATTGTTTCTGAACATGATTTGATATCATTCTTCATTTACTGTCATTAGGTTTAGAAAGTTTTTGTTCTAAGAGAATAAAGAATTCAACCATCCTGGAGGAGGGTAATAAGAAAAACTTGGCAGACTTGACTGAACTGAGAATTTCAGGTATCAGTGTAGGCCTTCAGGCTACAAGTTAAAAGTGATGAGTCCTGGAGCCTGAATGAATAGCAAGGCAACAGAGAATGAGATCAGAAAAAAAGGAAATAGGAGCCCCATGATAGAGAATCGAAAGGCAGTGAAGTACAAATGAAGGCTTTTGAGGTTTTTTTTCTTCACTGTAGTGTATATTAAGTATGTTAACTAACTGGAATTTAAATAAAAACTTGAAAAAAGAAAAGAAAGTGTATATTGAATATTCACGATGTGCCGAGCTTGTTCTAGAATCTGAACAAACTGTCTTAAAGCAGTGAACATAGAAGACAAAATTCCCTGCCTTCATTGAGCTTACATTTCGGGGGGCGGTAATAAGAAACAAGAAACAAGAATAATAAGTAAAACCTATAGTCTGTGAGAATGAGTTATACTAAGGGGGAAGAAACCCAGAGAAGAGAAAGAAGATAAGACAAAAGAGTGAGGAGGTAGAAGTTTTAGATAGTGTGACAGAGAAGATATCACTGAGATGACTTTTCAGTAAAGACTTAAAGTGAGAGAACTAGCTGTATGGATATGTGGGAAAAGAATATTCTAGGCAGAGGGAATAGCAACTACAAAGGCCTCGAGGTTGGAGCATGCCTGGTGTGTTCAAGTAATAGGAGTGGATAAGGGAAAAGGATAATAGAAGATAAAGAAAGGAGGTGAGAGGTGGAAAAATCATGTAGGGCCTTGTAGGTCACTGTGAAGAGTTTGGGTTTTTGCTTGAGTGATGTGGGGAAGCCATTGAAGGGTTCTGTACAGAGGACTGATAAGATCTGAATGGATTTAACAGGATCACTCTGGCAGGCTTTAGAGTAAGAGCAGAAAACCAACCAGGAGATTATTACAGTCATCTGGGTGAGAATAAATGATGGTTTGGACCGTGTATTAGATTTATACAGAGAAACAAAACCAACATGATGTATATAAAGAGAAAGATTTATTTTTAAGGAATCATCTCACACAATGTGGAGGCTTGTTGAGTTCAAAATTTGATGGAGTAGTTCAGTAGGCTAGAGACTGAGGGAAGAGTTGGCAGCTGGAGTCTGAAGGCATTTTGCTGGCAGAATTCCCTCTTTCTTGGGAGAGGCCAGTCTTTGTCCTCTTAAGGCCTTCAACTCATTAGATGTGGCCCACTCACATTATGGAGGGTAACGTGCTTTACTCATCATCCACTGATTTAAATGTTAATCCCATCCAGAAACACCTTCACAGAAACATCCTGAATGTTTGACCAAATATCTGGGTACCATAGCCCAGCCAAATTGACACATAAAATTAACCATCATAGGCCAGGATGGTGGCAGTAGAGGTACAGAGAAGTTGTTCTATTCTAGATATATTTTAAAGATAGAACAAACAGGATTTGCTGAGAATGGGAAAGAGGGAGAAGTCAGGTATAACTTCAAGTCTTTTGTCTTATACAGCTGTAATGGCCATTAACTGAAATTGGGAAAGCCATTAGAGTAGCAAGAGGTTGGGGGGGGAAAGGGGTGGTATCACCACATGATACATCATGTATCATGTTAAGATTGAGATGCTTTTCAGACATCCAGTTGTAGATGTTGGGTAGGCAGTTTCAGATGAGTTCTGGACATTGCATATTGATAAAAGTAGTAAGTAAGCAGGGAAGGAAAGAATTAATTTGGACATCCTAAGGAATCTGTGCTGGTGACAGAAAACCAGGGAGAACATCTTAAGAGAGACGTTATCCACATCCTATCTAGTGAATAAGATCTAAGATGGTAAAAAAATATCCACCATTTATTGAATATTTTCTATTTGCCAGACATCAGTGATAAACCTTACATACATAAATGTAAAAAAAGTTCATTGTATCTTCACAACACTATGAGTTGTTTTATTGCTCTTTTGTGGATGAAGAATCAACTCAAAGAGATTAAGCAAATAGAAGATGAAATGGAAATTCAAACCCACTTACCTGATTTCAAAGCTCATGCTTTCAACCACTAGGCTTCGAAAGGGCACTGGAATTAATGCTAGGGTAGTTGTATCTTTTCACTGTCCTTATGACCCTCACATATCACTTGTGCTTTGGAGTTCAGGTCTATAAAATATTGAGGTTGTTAAATGACCTCATGGGCTGTGCCACATCGGTCATTGCCAGCATCACTGTCCATTCCACAGCGTAAATCATAGCTGTGGTTTAAACGTATACCTGTGATGATTTGTTTAGTGTTTGTCACCTCCATTTGGTCAGGGACTTGTTGATTTTGTTTACTGTTACACCCCCAGTGCTTAGTGCC